TCTGTATAATGGGCTCCAGTTTCATCCATCTCATTAGAACTGATTCAAATGAATTCTTTTTAATGGCTGAGTAATATTCCATGGTGTATATGTACCACAGCTTCGATTCAATGCAATCCCTATCAAACTACCAACGGTATTTTTCACAGAACTAGAACGAATAATTTCACAATTTGTATGGAAATACAAAAAACCTCGAATAGCCAAAGTAATCCTGAGAAAGAAGAATGGAACTGGAGGAATCAATCTGCCTGACTTCAGACTATACTACAAAGCCACAGTCATCAAGACAGTATGGTACTGGCACAAAGACAGAAATTATAGATCAATGGAACAGAATAGAAAGCCCAGAGATAAATCCACGAACCTATGGTCACCTTATCTTTGACAAAGGAGGCAAGGATATACAATGGAAAAAAGACAACCTCTTTAACAAGTGGTGCTGGGAAAACTGGTCAACCACCTGTAAAAGAATGAAACTAGAACACTTTCTAACACCATACACAAAAATAAACTCAAAATGGATTAAAGATCTAAATGTAAGACCAGAAACTATAAAACTCCTAGAGGAGAACATAGGCAAAACACTCTCCGACATAAATCACAGCAGGATCCTCTATGACCCACATCCCAGAATATTAGAAACAAAAGCAAAAATAAACAAATGGGACCTAATGAAACTTAAAAGCTTTTGCACAACAAAGGAAACTATAAGCAAGGTGAAAAGACAGCCCTCAGATTGGGAGAAAATAATAGCAAATGAAGCAACAGACAAAGGATTAATCTCAAAAATATACAAGCAACTCCTCCAGCTCAACTCCAGAAAAATAAATGACCCAATCAAAAAATGGGCCAAAGAACTGAACAGACATTTCTCCAAGGAAGACATACAGATGGCTAACAAACACATGAAAAGATGCTCAACATCACTCATTATCAGAGAAATGCAAATCAAAACCACAATGAGGTACCATTACACACCAGTCAGGAGGGCTGCTATCCAAAAGTCTACAAGCAATAAATGCTGGAGAGGCTGTGGAGAAAAGGGAACCCTCTTACACTGTTGGTGGGAATGCAAATTAGTACAGCCACTATGGAAAACAGTGTGGAGATTTCTTAAAAAGCTGGAAATAGAACTGCCATATGACCCAGCAATCCCACTTCTGGGCATACACACCGAGGAAACCAGATCTGAAAGAGACACGTGCACCCCAATGTTCATTGCAGCACTGTTTATAATAGCCAGGACATGGAAGCAACCTAGATGCCCATCAGCAGACGAATGGATCCCATTTCTGTTGTACTCTTGGTGTTTATGTTCTCATCAGGGACATCCTTAACACTAATATTATATCATATAAGAATATTAGAGCAAATAGGCAGTTTCTTGAAAATAAACAATCCTCTTTGGAAATTTTATTATATAGAGCAGCAGGGAATATATTTTGAAATGTCAACCCACTGCACAGACAGGGTGTCCACTGTTAGAAGAAAAATCCAGCAGAAGACTGCATTAAATTTGAAAACCATTTGAAGACAGCATTAACAATATAAATTATAACTAAGAAGGTACATTTATAATTTTTACATTTTTAAAATTTGAAAAATTTTAAATGGAACACAAAATGTTGGTCTCCATGTTGCACAGAAATTACATTATATATACATTACATACAAATTACATTATATATACATTATATACAAATTACATTATATATAATTCCTAATGAATTATTTAGGTTTTAATTTGAAAATGTCTTAAAAATTACTTGCTACAGAATAAGGACCCAGGAATAAAAAAAAAAGGAAGCATAAAAAAAAAGCAAAATCATTTCCATATAAAATAGTTCAAAATTAGCAAACAAAGATGAAAATTTTATAAACTAATTCAATAAGATTGCTGACTCTGGTAAGAAAAACAATAATTTCCATAATCTCCATATTCAACTCTATGTTTACAGTGAATGATTCCCTGCCATTTTATTAATTTTTTTTACCTTTTGACCACCTTTACACAATATTTGTATTATTTAAATAAAAGTACTGCCAATGGAAATTTTGTGTTTTTTTTCAAGCAAAAATAAACTTCATTAATATTCATAAATACTATGCTCAAAAATATTAAGGAAATAATTGGTCCTGGATAAGAAGATTAAATATTATAAAGATGCAGTTCCCCTCAAATTTGTCTATAGGTTTAATGTAATTTCAATCCAGTTGTTTACTGGGACTTTTCAGAACTTGTTTACAAGTTGTTCTAATTTTTTTTTTCTAGAAGGATTAAGAGATGATAAAAGGAAAGGAATGATTGAAATGACAATGAGAAAATAGAAATAAAATAAGAAAACATAAACCTGTAGGATTTAAACTCTATGGCATTGGGAAAAGACCTGAAATACAGATCTGTGTAACAGGGTACACATGATCTGAATATAGAATATCACATTGCAAAAATAAATAACAACAAAATAATAACTATCATTTAATTAAAAGACAGAAATCTTGCCTCTTAAGAGGGGGATCAAATTAGACTGTAATTTCATAGTAAAAAAAACAAAATCTTGATGAATTAAAGGAGAAAACGAAAAAGATGCCTACCTACCTGTAACTCCTTCCCCATTATAAACAAAGAAGAAAAAAGAAAATAGTGGCAAATTTCCAACTTATTTACAATGTACAAAGGCTTTGAAAGTGTAAAATCAATTGAAGAAATGAAAAAAGAAGAAAACGTCTCATATTAATGGGTTAGTAAAATTTAAATATAAGCAGACATACAAACAGTTACTACAAAAACAAAGTTGTTATTTGGCATTAAGCTGGTTTCTAATTTTTTTGTTGCTATAAATAACTCAATATCAAACATCTCTGTGAGTAAATAATCCATCTTTTGGTTATTTCTTGAAAATATCTCACCAGAAATGGAATTACTGTGTCAAAAAAAAGTGCTAATTTCTAAGCTTCTTTATATACATTACACAAAGTGATTTTCAGCAACTGAGAGAGTTAATTCTTAGTTAGGCTGATAAGAAGTCTGGGGTCCCCAAGGAGGCGGAGGAGGAGGCGGAGGGGGGAGGGGGAGGAGGGGAAGGGGGAGAGGGGGGAGGGGGGAGGGGGAGAAAAGGACTAACTTTTTTCTTTTTAACATTCCTTCATCTTAATCATGTAATTTTTTTTTTCTTTAAACCCAGAGCTAATGATTACACAACAAAACAACCCATTTTGCTCAAGGATATGTTTTGCCTTAAATTCTGCGCCCATGATTATATAACAACAACATATCCTGTTCAAGGACATGTTTCTTGCCGTCTTAAACTGTATGTTGTGAGGGTGGGTCTGGTAAGCCCTTTACAACCTTGAGACAATCTTTTGATTTACTGTAATAACCAACTGAAAAAGTATATAGCTCCCTTGCTGAGACTAGCGAGGGGGGCACTTTCCATCCCCCTTCTGATGTCTATGCCAGAAGCTTTCTCTGTTGCTTTTCCTGTAATAAAATTTGTGTCACACAAGGGCTTTGAGTGATCAAGCCTGTCCCTGATCCTGAAGCTAAACTCTCTTCTTCAGAGATCACGAATGCGACATCCATCACTGTAAGCTATAACAACTATGTAATGATTTAGTGATCCGTGCTCAGTTGCGTCCAACTCTTTGTGACCCCATGGACTGAAGCCCGCCAGGCTCCTCTGTCCATGGGATTTCCCAGGCAAGAAACACTGGAGTGGGCTGCCATTTCCTGCTCCAGGGGATCTCCTCAAGCCAGGGATCGAACTCGCATCTCTTGTGTCTCTATTATTTCCCTCATCAGTATTTGTGGAGAAGGAAATGGTAACCCATTCCAGCATTCTTGCCAGGGGAAATCTCATGGAGAGAGGAACCTGGCAGGCTACTGTCCCACCGGGTTGCAGAGTCGGACATGACTTGAGTGACTACACACACACACACACACAATCCGTATTTGTTCCTATTTCATTGAAACAGAAAAATTGTTTATAAAAGAAAGGAAAAGAAAACTTAGCTACCATTTAAATTAACATCTATTTGAATATTAGTGACTCTGAACTTATTTTTAGTCATTGTTTGGCCATCTGTACTTTCTCTTCTGTGAACTGCAGTTCACTTCTTTCAATATATTGCAAAGAAACAGAAAACAAAGATGTTGAAATCAGACATACAGGAGTCTGGCTTTGTTAGCAAACAACTGTTTTGATGTGTAAGTTAATTTTTCTGAACTGTAATCTCCTTGATTCAATAAGAATAACACCTAAAACATGGAGTTATTGTATCGAATGAAATAAATTAATAAGGTTCAGAATGCTGATATAAATGACTAGAGTAAAAATAAGTCATGAACCCACTTATATTTAAATGTCAGTAGTAGTTACTGATTTTAGCCATTATTTTTAAATTAATTAAGATAATCTGTATTTTATATTTACAATAATTATTAAGATTATTTTTTGCAATTAAAGATATTTTAAGCAAAGTCATAGTTTGTGAGCTTTAGATTTTTAAGCAACTTCATTATTTCTTATGCCTTATAATTTTTTCCTATTCAATCAATATGCAAATGGGATGACTAATATATACACACCCTAAAATACATTTTCACGGAATTGTCAGCTTTGCAAAGATGGAATTATTTTTCATAAGTGTAAGCAACTTTAGCATACCAGGTATTTTTTATTTTCCAAAATCTTCTTTGACTCACACACTTATGTATTAAGTGATGTCACATTCAACTATTCAAAATCTCAGAGATAACATTTTTTTACAAGTTGTATTCATGCATCATGGAATGAAAAAGTGAAGATGTGATGACTATACACAGAGGTTATATTATCCATATTTTTCTGTCAACGTAATAAAAAAACCTGTGAAAATTTTTAACTTGTATATTTCATTTTCATTAAATATTTATTAAGACAATAAGACATATATTTATCATCTCTGAAATGTGACAGCATATAGAATGACAGAATATAAAGGCAGAAATCCCGTACCTTTTGTGTGAGTCACACCACTAATCTTGAAGGCAGAAGTCTCCTCGAGGAAGCTGTCCCAGATTGGAGCCATGACAAGATGCTTGGGCTTTTCCTCACCTAATCAAAATATAAAGAGATAATAGACTTCAATGTCACATTAAAAAGGACAAAAACCAGTGGAGACTGAAATAGAATCAAAATTTCCTTTTAATGGGAAATTTTCAGATCATTTTTCAAGGTATATTTAAGATTAGATTTAAACGACATTTCTGAAGCAGATATTCATCACTATTAATGGTTTTCTCTATAATATTAAAAAATCAACTTATAAAATCAACTCATAAATTTTTAGAATTTTCATTTAAACTATTCAAATTAAAAGATACTAAAGAGATCATGTTTGAGTTCACCATCTAAAAATAGATTATAGTGGTTAGTTAATAACTACACATGCATAAATACACAGTTTTGCAACATTAATAATTTAAATTATCCACTACAAAAATCAATCAATTATTCAAAATGTGCTTATGGGTTACATAATAAGTACTTGCTTTTAGTGCTACCATGTATAAAAAGTAAAAGTCTCTGTCAGCACTTACATTTATAATCATAAACATATTGAACTAGATGTCAGCTGATAAGAAGGGGATTTTTGTAACATACAGTAAAATTGTGTACATATTTACCATTTTGCCCATCAATACTACTTGTAGAAATGCATCTTAAATATACAAAGACATTATTTGTATAGCAAAATGCATGGGGCACATTTGTATAGCAAATTATTTGAAATAATGAAAATATTTATGTACTAGAGACTAGTTGTATATAACCAATAGTGTAATAACAACAACAACAAAAAACTGAGTACTAAAATCATACAAATCTATGAGAAAGATGTCCATTAACCATTTTACTAGGATTTCAGACATGGGTAAAGTTAGCAAGGTGTAAAAGAAATCATACAGTATTCTACCTTTGTGTAAGAGGATGAAACAGAACCATGTGTGGATATATGCACTTATCCAAATACCTCACTTTTGTGGACATAAACATAGTATGGATAAATCAGAATCAAATGATGATGGCCATCTATATGGTTGATTGAGAAATTGGTAGATGGCTGAATGACAGGAATGGTATTTCTTTAAGTAGAACTTTTTACATAGATGAGTTTTGAATAATATATGTTTCACAAATTCAAAAATAAATTTAGAAAGTTTGAAAAAGCAAACCTAAAATTGAATTAAAATTAGAATTTAAGAAATCCTAATTAGAAATTAAGAGACTCATCTTTACATAAATTGACAATACAACTATACAGAATAAAGAATTAAATACTGTGGCCATTTCATTGGCACATAGTTGCTTGTAGTAAATCTCTTATGATCTTAGTCATATAAGTTAACTATTTTTATTCTTCTTGTCAGTCATGTTTCCTTATGGTCCTTCAATAATTCAGGCCATATTATGATGCCAAGTCACCAAGGAATATGAGTACAAGAAGATATGCACATGGCAGCTAGAAAAAAAAGAGTCCACAAAAGAAAGGGTGAGGAAGTTAGGACAGAGAGATCCCATCATTAAGAAAAGGAAAGGAAGAATCTTTTCATAAAGTAATGAAGAAAGTGGAAGAGAGGAAGATATCAGAGGTCAGCATCTTCCTTGGTCTCCAGTCTCTTCAGGTTGAAGGAAGAAGGGGGAGAACCTTTTAAGTCTAAACATTCTCCCAGGACATGGTGAGTTTACATTAAAGACTTTTAAATTAATTCTTAAAAAGAGAAAACATTTCTTATTATCAAGTTTACTATTTTTCTTGTCATATAGGAAAAAAAAATTTTAGAACAATGAAATAAAATTAACAAATTAATTTTATTTTAATGCTAAAATTTTGATCCAATATGTTTTTATAACTCTCATAGTGATACAACTGCCCTCAAAATTCCATTCCCTGGAAAGTTCCATTAATCAGCCTTGTGTATTCCCACACCAGGAACTGTAAGCCTGACAACTGGTACAAAGTTCACAGACACATATTTTCTTGGTGCCTACCTTAATTTATGGTTTCCAATCCCAGCCAAATATAATACTTTTTTTAATTTGAATTTTGTCAGCTCTATCTTCTTTTCCCTCCAGGCATTTATTTCAACCCACTGTGCCACTCTTCAAATTTCTTATCTCTTTTCCTCAGCAGATGAAAATATAAACCTAATTGCTCTTAATCCCAAAGTGCCTCTACTACCTACATTTTATCTACATTCACATTTGTTTTAAGGTACCATCATCTGTTCAAAGGTAGAAACACCCTTCCTGTTCAAGGCTCTTCCTTCTATCTCAACCCTCATCCCAGTTCCCTCTGAGCTCTGGCTCATCAGTTAAACTCTACCGGCTTTATATCTTTTAACTTTTGGTCAACCCTGGCTTCTTCTTTCTGCTTATACGTATGCTTACGTCTCTTCCGCATTAAAATGCTGACTTCCTTGAGCCTGCAATCAAGTTTTATTAAGCAGCATGTCTCTTCTCATTATAGTTGAAGTATCAATAAGGGCATTTTACATGAAATGACATTATGTTCTTAATTTTTCTTAATTATTTCACACCAAGAGCAGGAAGAGACGATCAGGAAAGATGAAAATTCTAACAGATAACTGACAGTGTTCAGCTTCAGCATGAATTTAAATAAAAATAGTAAATTTTTAAAAAGAAAAAAAATAGTAAATATACAATGAGGATAAGATACAGTTTTCCCACAATCAGATTGACAGAAGGTAAGGAGAATGCTGATACTCAGGGCTTACAAGGTTCAAGAAAATATACTGTAATACACTTGTGATGACAGCATGAATTCTAACAGTGTAACCATTCTGTAGAGTAAACTGGTTTTTATATCATAAGCCCGAACATTTGTGTTCCTATTAGCCCTGAAATTGAACTTTATAAAAATGGATCATAGTAATAGTAGTAGCTCTACAAGACATAGCAATAATAGTTGAAAAGTTAAAATTATTAATGTCCATTATTAGATTTAAAATGTGTTTCATAAAACATATAGCATAATAGTTGATCTTTATTTCAGACTCGTATTATTTGGTCATTTAATACAAAGTAATCAAGCACTTCACAAAACTGAATTAAAAAATACATCTTCAAAATGATATAAAAAGAGGAACAAGCTTGGATTTGAGCCAAAATTTAATCTGATTATGCTATTTATATGGAAAAAAGGCAAAGGAAACAAAATTATAACACTAGAATTTTTATAAAGTTTTGAAGAAGAAGCATTGATATATTTGAGTAATATAAAAAAATTATAAAAATTTACTATGAATAATTTACATATTTGGGTTTCCAGATAAAATTAGGAGAATTTGACTTGGTACACAGATTCCTAATTTCTGATCCTGGCTCCATCATTTTAGAGCTGTGATTTTGGCCATGATATCTCGTTTCTTACACTTTATTTATGTTTTCTCTTTAAAAAATGATGCTGTTGAGCTAATGGATCTCTACAAAGTGTCTACTACCTCTAAAATGCTTGGATTCTATGATAGGATAATAATTACAAAATAACATATGTAAGGTAAAAGAAAAACAACTTACCAGTTAGTATGATATCGATGAAAACCTCTTCTTTGGTGGGATTTTGGAAAGGTATAGGAACAGATGTCTGAAGATGAAGGGACTCAGTTACTTTTTGTATTTCGTGAGGCTGGGGGAACAGTCCTATTCCAGAGAGGAGGAATATCCATTCCTTAAACTGTTTAAAGATAGAAATACATAACAGAGACGTCCTAATTACCTATTTTTTATTTGTAACACTTAATATAGAACACATAAAAATTTTGGCAGATAAAAAAGTATTGTGTTAATATTTAACAAGCATCATTTTATTTTTCCTGCCTGTTCCAAATTCCTTTTGATTTTACTGAAAAATTAATGTTTTTACACTGAGAAAAGGCCAAAGACCAGTATTGAACATATTTCAATGCATATAGGTTATTGATAACAACATATAAGAGAAATCTTAATGAAAACCATGCATTTCTGTTCAAGGTTTTTTAAAAAATCAATTTGTCTAACAAACTGGGTACTAAACATTGTATGAACCTTCCAAAACATTAGAATTTCAAATGAACTTTAGACAGTTATCACATTAAAGAAAAGCAGGTGAGGCATAGACTGAAGTCTCATTAAAAAGAAGTGTGTACAACTCGTGTGTGTGTCTTTGTTCTCAGTTGGTCAATCATGTCCAACTCTTTGTGAGCCTGCCAGACTCGTCTGTTCATGGAATTTTCCAGGCAAGAATACTGGAGTGGGTTGCCATCTCCTCCTCCAGGAGATCTTCTCGACCCAGGGATCAAACCTGCATCTCCTGCATTGGCAGGTGGATTCTTTATGACTGCGATTGTCATATTACTTATCCCCATTATCTAGTACAGGCTATGTTCTCTTATCACATGAAATGAAAGAATGGCTCAAATATTATGCAAAGGAGACTAAATGCGGCCACTGTTCTCATGCACATTTCATAAATCTCTGTTTGAAAATGTTACCCTTGTATTCATTTAAAATAAAAGTCCCTTAAGACTCTGTTCTGCACTGAACACTTTACTAATGTTACTGACGAGTGAAGAGGTCATTAAACAAAAACTGACTAACAAGAAGAACTCAAGAGCCTCTTGATGAAAGTGAAAGAGGAGAGTTAAAAAGTTGGCTTAAAGCTCAACATTCAGAAAACTAAGATCATGGCATCCGGTCCCATCACTTCATGGCAGATAGATGGGGAAACAGTGGAGACAGTGGCTGACTTTATTTTTCCGGGCTTCAAAATCACTGCAGATGGTGATTGCAGCCATGACATTAAGATGCTTACTCCTTGGAAGGAAAGTTATGACCAACCTAGATAGCATATTAAAAAGCAGAGACATTACTTTGCCGACAAAGGTCCATATAGTCAAGGCTACGGTTTTTCCAGTGGTCATGTATGGATGTGAGAGTTGGACTATAAAGAAAGCTGAGCACCAAATAATTGATGTTTTTGAACTGTGATGCTGGAGAAGACTCTTGAGGGTCCCTTGGACTGCAAGGAGATCCAACCAGTCCATCCTCAAGGAGATCAGTCCTGGCTGTTCATTGGAAGGACTGATATTGAAAGTGAAACTCCAATACTTTGGCCACCTGATGTGAAGAGCTGATTCATTTGAAAAGACCCTGATGCTGGGAAAGATTGAGGGCAGGAGGAGAAGGGGACAACAGAGGATGAGATGGTTGGATGGCATCACTGACTCGATGGACATGGGTTTGGGTGGACTCCAGGAGTTGGTGATGGATAGGGAGGCCTGGCGTGCTGCGGTTCATGGGGTTGCAAAGAGTTGGACATGACTGAGTGACTGAACTGAAACTGACTGACACTGTCCTAGTTTATCACCTCTAAAACTACAGAGATGTTTTCAAGCTTAAGTTCCAATAAAAAGAGGGAAACTTACTTTATGATTCTTTCTAAGTAGGATGGGTGGTGACAGTAAATCCATAAAATGCTGTCTTAGTAGTGAGTATTAAAAGCAAGTTTTATCTGCATATGTCTTCAAATGACTGCATTACTTTTATTTAGAGATTCTATGAGCATAGATTCACTGTATTTTCACTTATGATGCCTGAGCTTGATCATACACAATTGATTGAGTGGAATCAAGTATCAGGGTTCAATTACATTAACAACTGATTTTTGTAAATTATTTCTTGGCTATTTTATAAAAGAAATCATGGATGACAGAAACTGGCTTACTTTAAACAACTGGAAATGAGCTAAACTACAAAAACAGAAGATCATGTTTTCATGTTTCACCAAGTAGTTGGGAATACTGGAGCTTTTAAGTTAAACCATGTCCCACCATTCTTGGACATTTAATAACAAACAATCACCCTGCTGCTAAGTCACTTTAGTTGTGTCCGACTCTGTGCGACCCCATAGATGGAAGCCCACCAGGCTCCCCCGTCCCTGGGATTCTCCAGGCAAGAACACTGGAGTGGGTTGCCATTTCCTTCTCCAATGCAGGAAAGTGAAAAGTGAAAGTGAAGTCGCTCAGTCGTGTCCGACTCTTAGCAACCCCGTAGACTGCAGCCTACCAGGCTCCCCCATCCATGGGATTTTCCAGGCAAAAGTACTGGAGTGGGGTGCCACTGCCTTCTCCAACAATCACCCTAGCATTGCTTAAATCATCAACCTAGGTTCACAGAGAGAAATTAAAAAGTACCCTAGCAAATGTGTGCATTAAAAAGTGTAACATTTTTAGTTCATCTTTTATCTAAAACTTCATTGAAAGGAGACACAGTAAAACAAAGATTCAATTCCAATGTTTCTGAAAAATGAAACAAGTGTAGGTAAAAGACAGTAGATCTGGCTCACACACTGGGCAGAGCTCAAGGGCATCTGAGCTTGCTAAGAATCAAGGGAGTTTTCCATAGACACAGGCTGCAAGGACCACAGACTCATGCTGGGTAATAAAATCACTTTGATTTGATCTTTTTTTCCCTTCATTTCCACTATTCTGACCTTTAGATGCAGGAAGTCACACAATCAAGTATAAATAAGTAATGGAAACTATTTGAAAATAAAAATGAAATGACTGAAAACCAAGAGAAAAATCTCAGAACATAATGTTTGATATCAAAGAGAAGGCCTGTTTATCATATTTGCTGCTTACTATCATTCCTCTTATCTTGTCATGCAGTAACACCATCTCTTTGAAAGACTCTGGAAGCATATTTTGAGTTTATGATATTCACAGTTGTGATGCCCTAACCAAATTAATCTCAGGATTCAAAATCTACACAAACAACTTTAGCCTAAAGTTAGTTTTTTTTTTTTTTATAATCCAGAGTTCTTCACATGGATCCAAACTGGAAACAAACGAAATAAATTATAATCCATGGCCATTTCCTTAAATTCAGCAAAGAACCATTTTCAGAAATGGTTACAAGCACTAACAGATTTTTTGATTAATTAGCTATTTAGTTGTGTGTGTTAGTTCAGATATATTCATCAGTGAAATCAAGAGAGGAACAAAGATCTATGCGAGTTTTTCCCTAGTGGTTAATGTAATTGCAAACTCACAGACTTAGAAAAGTAACCCTAAAATTTTATTTTTAAAACATTTTATTTTTATGTCTACACATTCATCATACATACTGCATTTTCAGAAAGTTTGTTCAATCAATACTTTAGGATGAAACAGCTTTGCCTGAAAAAATTGTCAGTGAGTGTTAGTTGCTCAGTTGTGTCTGACTCTTTGCAACCCCACGGACTGCAGTCTGCCAGGCTCCTCTGTCCATGGAATTCTCCAGACAAGAACACTGGAGTGGGTTGCCATTTCCTCCTCCAGGGGATCTTCCGGACCCAAGGATTGAACCCGGGTCTCCTGTATTGCAGGCAGATTCTTTACCATCTGAGCCACCAGGGAAGCCCCAAAATGTCAACTAGATGAATTAAGAGGAAGCCCTCAATGATTCAGAGATGAAAAAGGACCAAAAATAAATACATAAATAAAGGCAAAAAAATAAAAAGAAAAGGCAGGAAAAATCACAAGGGTTAGGGTAATACATTGAAAAGGTTGATGTGGTCTGGATTCTAGGTAAAAGCATGACGTTGATTTAAGTCTCAGTTCAGTTCAGTCACTCAGTCGTGTCAGACTCTGCAACCCCATGGACTGCAGCACGCCAGGCCTCCCTGTCCATCACCAACAAGTTTGACTTTACTCAAACTCAGGCCCATTGAGTCAGTGACGCCATCCAACCATGTCATCCTCTGTCGTCCCCTTCTCCTTCTGCCTTCAATCTCTCCCAGCATCAGGGTCTTTTCAAATGAGTCAGTTAGATTTAAGTCTAACCAGAGATAAAACCTTGGAGATTTGCGATAGTTTGGAAGGAGAGGCTTAGAATAACTGAAAGCAAGGCCCAGTGTTAAAGTGATTGACAAAAAGTTTTGAGTTGATTACTTACTTGTTTGAGTTCTTTTGTGTTTGATAAAGAATTGTGAGTTTGACCTCTAGGCTAGGATTTTCTAAAGTTATCAAGATGAGGAACTCATCATTGCCCTGCTGATGTGCCAGACTATCTTGAGTAGATATAAGTTCCACCAGAAATGCAAGCAACTAAGTTATCTCCAAGAATGAAGATGAAAGGGCTGACGCTGCTATGAAGCAATGAGCTAAAAGATAAGCCATGTCAAAATTATTTTTGTGAAATAAAATATCTCTACTATACCTTCCATTCTGTATAAGAAGGATTACTGTTTATTTTCTTTAATACTTTTGACTCAACGGGACTTCCCTGGCAGTCCAGTGGTTAAGACTCCATGCTCCCAATGCAGAGGGCATGGGTTTGATCCCTGGTTGGGGAACTAAGATCCCATATGGTGCCCAGGAAAAAAAATATATATATGATATATATATATACACACACATATATATATATATATTTTGAGAGTCAAGTATAATCCATTGTATTGCTTCAGGCCATGTATTAGTCAGTAATCATATAAACAATTTAATAGCCTCAAAAACTTTTTTCTAAATTACACATTTTGGAGGGAAAAGAAGGCACTGGGCTTCCCTTGTGGCTCAGTTGGTAAAGAATCCACCTGCAATGCAGGAGACCTGGGTTCAATCCCTGGGTTGGGAAGATCCCCTGGAGAAGGGAAAGGCTACCCACTCTAGTATTTTGGCCTGGAGAATTCCATGGACTGTATAGTCCATGGGGTTGCAAAGAGTCGGAAACGACTGAGCAACTTTCCCTTTCACTTTCTTTTGAGTTACATACTAGCCTTTCACTGACATGGGGACCTCTGTATTATATTTGATTTCACTCCCTCCTAGATTACAGGATTTTCTAAGCTACTTGGATATAAAGCAAACCCTTCCACTTACTTTACTCCCCCATCAACACTTGAAGAAGTAAAAAATAATAATGAACGTACTAATAATGTAAAATTCTTACTGGAAGTAACAGTTATGACTTGGCAGTGTGCCTGTAGATAGAAAAATAGTTATGAAGATGGGCTGAAGCAAGATGTCCTAGGTTCAACCACCTACTGATCCATAAAATGGGGTTGACCATATTTTCACCATAAGGACTCTGGTGACAATGAATTGAAATAATTCTTAGAATGGTATGTAGCAAGTTTAGAAATGGTTAAAAAATAAACTATTATTTTTAAAAATTATTATTATTCAGATGGAAATAGAGTGGGAAAAAACATACTACTTGCAAGATTAGATTTCATACAATTTTATATTTAAGTTCATGAAAACTTGAGTAATAAAATCCAAGTCAGAAAATTAACATAAATGCTAGCAATTTGGCATTTACATTAAAGTACCTACATTTTAAATCTGGGTTTATATTCTCTTTCATTCAAGTGATCTAAGAATTTAAAGATGCCTTCTTAAATGCCTGTGCATACATAATGTATACTATATTTTCCAAAGTTCATTTAAATAATAATTTACAATAAAGTTGTTTTGCTTGCAAAGATGTCAAATGGATAAATTAGATTTACATGTTTATTAACTTTAAAATTTAATTAACCTGTCTTGGTCTAAGAATACTCTATCATACCTGAGCACAGTGGAAGATGACAGAAGTCTGATGACTAGCTCTTCCAAGAGCAGAAGGACGAAAGTGAATAGGTATGTCTCTGGCTGAGTTAGGCGGTATGATCAGCTGTGTGAATTAAGAAACAAGAACGGGAAACAAAAATCAATACTTTTGCTTGAGTCGGCATCTTTGTGTGCTAGATATATGCCAGGTAGATGCTTGTGTGATTAACATGTTGCCTTGTACACATTAACCATTTTCAGCATGGTTGCTTGGCAACTATTGGTGAAACAGCCCAAGATACTAAACAGCGTTCAGTAATGCATACACCATGTTCTTCCCCAAGACAGTGACTCCATTGATCTGTAAAAGGAAACCAGGATTAAGCTTTTAAGCTGAGCTGGAATCCCCAATAATGGAAATGTGCATTTTATTTAAGAACCCATAGCTTATTGTCCATTTCAAGAACCATGTCGAACCACTGGGAATCTAACTTGTAGCCTTGGCGAGGTCAAAAGAAATGAACTCAGTCTAAATGTAGAGGTAAGATATTCTTCTTTAGTGCACAATGAAGTTTCTTCTTTGTCCTATCACATAGACCCTCAAGGTGTGATCTACTGGAATAACTTGAATCTGAATTGTATTAGTATGAGTTACTGCTTCGGAGATTGTAAAAGAAGCTAAAAATTCTATCGTAATAGAATGAGGACTTGAAGATCTTAAGTAATCAAAAAACTACACTTTGAATAATGTAACATTTACTATCAACACTCACAGAATGATGGAATGAATGTTACATGTTTGAAAAGTAAGTAAATTCTTTTTTCACTATTATAGTTTGCCAGATAACTTTTGAAAAAGGAAACTTGCAGTTTATCAATGTCTTTCAATCCTCATAGGATACAGCATTTACTGTTTAATAAACTCTGAGAATAACCATGAACAAACATACAAACTTACTTTTAGAACAGAGTTAATTTGCTGCTGTTATTCAGTTGTTAAGTCATGTCAGATTCTTTGCAACTCCATGAACTGCAGCATGCCAGACTTCCCTGTCCTTCACTTCTCCCAGAATTTGCTCAAATTCATGCACACTGAGTTGGTGATGCTATTTAACCATCTCATTCTCTGCCACCCTCTTCTCCTTTTGCCCTCAATCTTTCCCAGCATCAGGGTCTTTTCCAATGAGTTGGCTCTTCACATCAAGTGACCAAAGTATTGCAGCTTCAGATTCAGCATCAGTCCTTCCAATGAATATTCAGGGTTGATTTCCTTTAGGATGGACTGGTTTGATCTCCTTACTATCCAGTGGACTCTCAAGAGTCTTCTCCAGCACCATAATTCAAAAGCATCAATTCTTTGGCACTTAGCCTTCTTTATGGGCCAACTCTCACATCTACACATGACTACTGGAAAAACCACAGCTTTGACTAGACAGACCTTTGTCAGAAAAGTGATGTCTTTGTTTTTTAATACACTATTAAGGGCTACCCTGGAATCTCAGCTGGTAAAGAATCTGCCTGCAATGCAGGAAACCCTGGTTCGACTCCTAGGTGGGGAAGATCCGCTAGAGAAGGGATAGCCTACTCATTCCAATATTCTTGGGCTTCCCTGTGGCTCAGCTGGTAAAGAATCTGCCTGCAACATGGGAGATCTGGGTTCGATTCCTGAGTTGGGAAGATCCCCTGGAGAAGGGAACAGCTACCCACTCCAGTATTCTGGCCTGGAGAATTCCATTGGGTTGCAAAGAGTTGGACATGACTGAGTGACTTTCACTTTCACTTTTCTGATTTGTCATAGCCCTCCTTCCAAGGAGCAAGCATCTTTTAATTTCATGGCTGCATGAATTAACAGAGCTAGTTACTTCCTTATTATATACATGTGTGGTTTATCTACAGCAAATATTTTTTTTAAAAATTTCAGGCTGGATCTTCCTCTGATATTTCAAACATGTTAATGCTATCAGTTAATGCACATTTAAGGAGTTTAATTTCAGAATCAACTTGAGCAAAAAAAATTAGAACAGTTGCATTTCACATGTTCTTTCAATTTAGTAAATGTGACAAAAGGATCTCTCTCCCTCCTCCCTATATATACATATAAGAAATCATCAATTTCATTGTAAAAGTATATAATACTACATTAATTTTAAACTCTAGTTCTACCACTTAATAATCACGTAGTTTAAATACTTTGACCTCTCTGGCCTCAAATTCAATTTGTATATGTCAGAGGCAAGTGGTGAAAATTGAGGTTGTGTATACAACAACCCAATAACTCAATTCCTTTATTTCCACAGAAAATTTATTGAAAAATTCATCTCCCCTGGTTTCAAGGAAAAGATAAGCACTGTTGGATGGAATTTAACTGTAGCAAACCTACTTGTTTAGTGTAATGAGATACATATATACATAATATGCTAAATATAGCAGCTTTCTGACTCTTGAAAATATTTCATTACAAGAAAAATCATTTTATTACAAGTGTCATTAGGAGAACCAATTCCAATCTTTGAGTTTACACTAGATCTTAGTTCAAGAGGGAAAGATATTCTTTCAACAGTTAGGTAAAGTACAATTTGGACCAGATACTAGATGATGGAGACTAAAATGCTCTTAAGAAATATAAACTGAAGTATTTACTGTTAAAATAGTATCTACAATTTACTTTTAAATTGAATAGTAAGAAATGTAAGAGAGAAAAGAGAGGAAAAAAAAATTAAATTGTTAATATAAGAACCAAGATAGAAGGTATAAATCTGTGCATTGCATTATTCTACTTCTGCATCTTTTTGCTATTTTTCATAATATATAAATGGAAGAAAGTAAGTTTTTAATATAATTATTTCACTTGATAATCTATGTTTATGTATTGAAGCATTTATGGATAATCATCAATGTTTAAAAATCCTCACCTATGAATATTATACAACAAAAACAGGAATAAGGTCATATATACATATCTATATATGTATATAAAGTTATATATACATTAAAAACTATATAGATATATAATATACTTTCCATTTATTATCATTACCATTAATGTGTGCTCCTATTGATTCTATAACATATAATACTTTAATCATCTGTAGATTTTTCAGTTATTTCCTAATATTAAGATTAATTGCATATTCAGTGCTCAATAATATTTGATAAATGTATGAGAGAATTAATGGACTAAAAAGCCATAGCTGGACATGTTAAAGTTGAGATGATCTTTTTCATTATGCAATGTAAGGGGGTATCTGTAATATAACACATTTGTTTTCCTTTGAAACACAGCTTACACTCTCTGTAAAAGTAGTTATACAAAGGATATGAATGCAACACTGTCTAATGACTATTTTCAGTTCTGTATAAACTATAGCCTGACCATCATATTCTGTTTAATTTATGGACAATATGGTGTTAAGTAATACAAACACACACATACATTTTAAAATAATTTCCCTAAGATTACACCATATACATCAATTTCAGCAATGTAATACTTAGCAATATCTGATTTGACACACCATGGCAATTAAGAACTCATTTCATATCATGATATTAGCTGGCAACCAGCGAGTGACAAGAGACAAGTATTAAAGTATAAACAAAGAAATCACAATTATATATTTGTTAAATAATTATCAAACAGCAAACAAAAAAATCCTTTATCTAAATACCATAACTACTTAATAGGGCTTCCTAATTTACTGTATGGTCCCTTGAAGAAAGTAATCCATTGCAATTATCATTTTGAAATTTACTCGAAAGCATGGTTTTGTCTTTCACTATATATATTTGGTATGGTATGCTTTGGAAATACAGACAGGGCTGCTGATTCTTCAGCTCTTGTTTTGTTACTTGGAGGAAGATAGAGGGATGGAGACCCAATGAATGGCTCCAGTCTCTATCAGGAACCAAGGAATGAGAAAATGAGGCAGAGAAAGGAGAGGGGAGCAAAGCTGTCAGCACTGTCTCTGGGGAGGGGGCGGTGGGTAGAAACTAAGGAAAAGCTAAAAAGAACTGCCCCCCTAGGATTTATATAGACTAATCATATTAGTCAAAATCATATCAGTAAAATGCACAATTTTCGTGGGGACGCTAATAGCGGGGGAGACTGTGCATGAGTGCCATGAGTGGGAGGCAGGATGTGTATGGGAAATCTCTGTATCTTCTAATTTTGCTGTGGACCTAACCCTCTCTAAAAAATTAAGTTTCTTTAAAAAAAAAAGAAAGAAAAAAGAGAGAAAAAAAAGAGCATTCTAATTAAAATCAGGGGAAAAGAAAGTCATATTACTAGGTAACTATCACAAAAACTGGTTACCAAAGTGGTCAGAAATAAAGCACAACCAATTTATTTAGAGATCAGTGAAAATGAGCATGAATCTAGCCTATACATTATAATTTCAAAAATTCATTATATGAACATGCTACTGATTTTCTTAATAAATTAAAATTGGTGACATACGTTATATTAAAAAATAGCATCTGCAATTCAATTGCAAATGCCCCATGGTGTGCCAAAATCAGAACTGCAAAATGTTCTAGGTAGTGGTAGGTTACTCAGCTTTCTGAATATACTTACTGGTAATCTCTTAATCTCCAGGACAAAATTTTCAGTGTTACTGTTTGTTGCATGCAATTCTAAGGTTTCACATGTAGGATTATCTAAAGAAATCATCTCAGTGGCAACCCTGGAAGGAAAAACAAAGCTAGTGAACTTGTTCATAAACTCATTCAATGATAATTTCACACACTCGATGACTACTATGGGTTGAAGTGCATCCCTCAAAAAGATCAAGTTCTAATACCCAAACTCTGGGATGTGATTTATACTCCAAAGTTCTCCAAAGGATCAGACAGTGTCTGGATTTCACCTGTAATCACTGCCTTGCTTAGCTTCTTCTCTTTGCTTATTCTGTTTCCCCTATTCTCTTACTAATTTTTCTTACTGGGAACACAACTCCTTAATAAGTCACTTGCAGTGATGTTTTGGCTCAACTCATGCCACTGAGAGAATTGAACGCTCTTTTGCTGTGCTTACGGAGCAACATTAACTAGAAGGTACTGATTTGCCCACAGGTACACACTCTTTAAAAGCAGGAATTGTGACTTGATACCCTTATGTATCAGCACTAAACTTGATGTCAGACATGTAATAGGAATTCAGTCCCCTAAATATAAATGGTCATATTTCAAGGGCAAGTATTGATCATATTTCAATGGTTATATTTCAATGATCGAGTGTTCTCAGTTGCCCACTGTTTACTCTCTTGATTTGCCTTGAGCAAACTCTAGTCAGCCTTCTATCTTTTTGATAGGCCACTGAACTCTGCTTGTCCCCAAGCCTGAGCAAGCACCAAAAAAGTGGAATCTGTCTCCCTTCTGAGCTTCTCCTGGGAATTAACTGACCACAGAGAAACCCTTTTTCCTATCAGTCCCTACTGGTCATTTCCCTTTCCTTGTCTAGCTTTCTCTCCAAAGATTCTGGTTATCTTTGCTTGCTCCTCCTTTAGCCTGTAAAAGAAAAAGCTTGTTCTGTTTGATACTGAGTAGCTTGTAGATTTCTGAGAGGGAAGTATTCTCTGAATTGCTATAGTCCCCTGACAACTATTTTAACAGTTCCTTTTCCTCCCTTGCAATAATCACTTTGAACAAAAGCATCTCCTTCCTAAGTCCTGACATGTTTTTCTTTTCACACAAGTTTTCTTTTCACACAAGTTTTCCACAAGGATAGTTTAAGTAGCAAACTTCCCTAGAGAAGAAAAACAATTACTAAAACAAAATATATGTTTGTCCTATTTAAAAAGAGTAACTGTAGTAAAACAATATCTATTAAAAAGAACTTACTTTCCAAGGTCACAATATATTTCTTTCATTATGGTTGGTTCTGGAAGGTCGGTAGTTATTTTCAGTAAATACCAAAACTCTAGACCCAAATCAGGCTGAAAAACAATGCTGGTGGAGAGAAAAATAAAAATCTTGTCAGCAGATCTAGTTTGTATGCAAAACAAATTTGGCAGAGAAAATAAATTCCAAATAGGTGGTTCCAAATATAACATTTGACAATCATTCTGTGACACATTCTACTCTTGTTTTAGATGTATTTTTTTTTCATTTTTGGTGAGAAAATAACTTCTTATTCAAGAAAAAGTATTATCATGAATATCTGTCTAATAAATGCCTGTTGATTCAATGAAAACTGCTTTAACATAGGTGATTCGATTATCTTACAGTAGCTAGAACAAGTAGAGTCCTGTGTTTGAAGTGTGATTAAATCAGATGTAGCTGATTTTCACATGAAGACTATCAAGTGACATGCAGCTCTGGAAAGCTGCCTTTATCATCAGCATGTGCTCTCCTTTGGGGAGACAAAAAGCATATGACAGTCTAAAAATAAAACTGGGCTGGTATTCCAGTTCTGTCATCTTTTATCTGTACAGCCTTGAACAAGTCACCTAACTTGCTGAACTTCAATTTCACCATTTATAAAATGGGAACACTCATTCCTACCTCTTATGGTTACTCTGAGAATTTTAGGTGTGTATGTATGTAAAATATATGCTCTAGCGATGATAACAGAGAGAGCAGGCAGTAAGTATCAGACCAAAGTATGCCTTTTAACTGACAGTTTAGCTGACCAACTCCAAGATTCAGTCTGTGCTCATAAAGCGTCTACAGTCATACTGGGGAGGGGAGATGGGCCTACATTTCTAATGATAATCTAGCAAAATAGTGTCTTCTATATACAGTATGACTTTAATTTACATGCTTTACATTATAAAAATGCTCATCCTTTACAATTTTGCAAATATATTGATTTCTTTATCATTCATTAAAATAAGAATTATTCTAACTCTTTTGAAAGAGTATATAAACTAGCAAAGAGCTAGTAATGGAATGCATTGTACACAACAATAATAAGTAAGTACAATCTTTAAAACTGTAACAATTGGATGTTACTGTTGAAACAAAGAAATTTTACCATAAGCTGAGTTAATCATGAGTATAGAGGCTACATGTTTCTGTGTGTGTGAAAACAGTGCAAAGAAAGTTTCTCATAATTATGCCATAAGAACACGTGCCACAGCACTGTTAATATGTGTGTACGTTTGTGATTTGCATTTAATTGAGAATATAAGATATAAATGAATTTTTATTAAGAATACTGAAAGTTTAACCCTTAGTCCTTATGGAATCATGTTCATTTGGCTCAATTTTTACACCCAGAAAAATACGGTTAACAAAAAGTGAGGTGAAAGAGAGTATATAGGGAGCAATTTAGGCATTATTAAACTTGATATTCCAATAAATAATATCCTTGCACTAAAGAAAACAATGGTCACTCTAAATTAGTATATTTTACCAATGAATGATATTAAACAAAATTAAAACTATGAGCAAGTGTAATCTGAACGATTATACTACGCAAAGAAATAATTTGAAAGGTTAATTTCAAGGGATAAACAATAAGTATAATGCCACATTCAAACCATACCTTTCTTCTGTAAAGCCTGCACATGCTGGAGAATACCGTACGATATAGTTGACAGAATCTCGTGGAAATAGTTCAAGTTCATCGAGTCCACTGAAGGCAGCACTTGAGAATAACACGTCAAAGTGAATAATTTTCTCTTCTGGATTAATGAGAGGTACTTCAATACAAACAGTCTCCTAGAATTACAAAAGAAATATGTAATTAGCTCTAAGCTTCAGCACAGAGTCTTTGTCCTATGGAAAACCAAGAAATTTTTATACATTAGGCCATTGTTTTATTTTTTTCTCCTTAGTCCACTAATGAATGTACCTCACTCTCTTTTAATCTCTTATGTATTTTCTTAGCCTTGGTAGCCTTGGTAAATTGTAAAATTATTGTTTTCAAAAACAAATAGTCAAAGAGATCCACCTAGCTAAATACTCAGGAAACTTCAAAATTATATATGTTTAAAATATATTTTTCATCAGTACAATTATTATTATGAGGTCTGAATGTCAATGTTTCCTCTAGCTGTGGTACCAGGCTTTAGCATGCATAAGAATCATCTGTAGAAGTTGCTGAAATATGGATTACTGGCCCCCTTCCTCAAAGATCCTGATTTAGTAGATCTGGGATGGGGCTAAAAAAAGTCAAATTATGCTGATGACATGACTACCTTCCCATTTAGATCCCTTCCTTCTGTCTAGTTTTTCTGGTTCTGGCTCCCAAGTGTATCTGGAAGGCACATTTTACTTTCCAAGACATTTCCTGATTCTCATTCTGATCCATTTTGGCTAATGACATATCTTTGTCTAAAAATTTTATTTAAGCGTAGTTGATTTACAATGCTGTGTTAATTTTTGCTATATGGCAAAGTGAGTCAGTTATACATATATTCTTCTTCGTATTCTTTTCCATATAGTTTAACACAAGATATTGTATATAGTTCCCTGTGCTATACAGTAGGACTTCGTTGTTTATCCATCCTATATATAATAGTTTGTACCCCCTAACCCCAGTTGCCAAGTCTCCCCTCCCCCTGACTTGGCAACCACAAGTCTGCTCTCTCTGTAATGACTTTTATCTTATCCCATTACAGCTGTGATCTCCACTACAGTAAAAGCCATTAATTGAAGCAAATGTGTCAAAGGTGATTAAACAGGCAGGGCATATCCCAATGTTAACAAAAAACCAATTGTCTATAATGATTTAACCTAATTAAATGGAGAATGTTGGACATTTTAGTCATAATTTAAAGCTCAATAATGGGTGTTCTTTGGGACATGGAGCTATTTTGAAACTTATCAAGTCACATTATAGGACCTAGTGGGGACAGGTGGTGATGGGGAGAGAGCTATTCACACAACATATCTTCAAGATAGACATTACTGCTTTGTCCATGGAACAGCATTTGCTTGATTACCTCTGTATAAATAAATGAGTGGATAAATATTATATTTTAGGGAATAGAAGTAGCATTTAGTGTGGTAAACATGATCTGTCGAGGAAAGATGGAAATCAAGGATATATATATGTTTATAATTACTAGATGAGAGTAGATATCATTTACTACAAATCAGACTTAATCATAAATGCAATGGAAAACAGTCAACTACAATAGTTACTGGAGATATTAGAATCATGGATTCCTAAAATAAATGGCCATTAAACTCCTACAGTAAAATATCCATGCTCATAATTATAAACAAGGAAGTATAATATGCAAAAAACTCAACAATGGCATTATGTCACAAATTTTACTATTTCCTAGACAACCTGACATACTTGGAAGACTGTTACAAAACACAGCCTCCTAGAAAGTTCTGAGGGTCAAGCAAATCAACAACTAACCCAAAGTAATATGTCATGATAACAAATCCCAACCACCATATAACAACCTAGACACTCTGCCAAGGTCTTTAGACAGAAAATTGAAATAAGGCATTTTGGACTAGATATTTGTCCTGGCCTATTTAACTCAGATCTTTTTCAGAGAAAGTGTCACTGTAAGACAACGATAAAGCTTCTTCAAAGAAGTAAAAAGCTAAGATCGAACTCCATTTCATATTACTATTGGCTCATATACACATGCCATTGGGAAAAAAATGTTTCACAAAACAGTCCCTACTCTTACCACTTGTGACTTCTATGATATATTCTTTCCTATCCTACTTTATCCTATCCTATCCTAATCATCTCTTTTTTTAAAAAAAATTAATAATGCTCATTTTAACTGAGTCACATTTCGAGACCTGTACATTGAAAAACTCCAGTCTAAAGAGGAAAAAATAGTACTGGGATGTGTGATTGCTTTATGTCTTATCACATGTAAACTATGAACACAAAATAAAACAAAATCAGTTTAAATCTACTGTTCTCTGAATTGCAAGCCATATAACAGAAACTTTTTGTTAGAAATCTGTTATGACATTCTACACAGTTGGTCAAACTTCTTAGGAAATGTGAAATGAAAGTCACTTAGTTGTGTCCAACTCTTTGCGATCCTATGGACTATCAGTCCACGGAATTCTCCAGGTCAGAATAATAGAATGGGTAGCCTTTCACTTCTCCAGGGGATCTTCCCAATTCAGGGATCAAACCCGGGTCTCCAGCATTATAGGCAGATTCTTTACCAGCTGAGCCACAATGGAAGCCCAAGAATATTGGAGTGGGTAGCCTATCCATTCTCCAGGGGATCTTCCCAACCCAGGAATTGAACTGGGGTCTCCTGCATTGCAGGCAGATTCTTTAGCAACTGAGCTATGGATGGCAGTTAAGTGGCACCTCTGTCACAGTTCTTCCTTGACACATTCATGGCAAGTATCACCACTTGACCATTTCACTCTTATCCAATAGGTCTGGATACCCCTCAAAATCCTTCACAGAGGAGTCTTGCAGAAAACAATCACCAATTGCTTAGAGCCGCCAGCACTGGGGAACCCCACAACCAAACTCTTTGTTGTCTTGAAAACAGCAACAAACTCAATAGAAAAAGATAGGTGATTATAGTAAGAAGAAAAAAAGACGACAAAAGTTTCCAAGTAATTGTTCTCTACTCCAAGTATGGTAAAATATGTTAAATTTAACAATACTATAAAATTTTTTTTCCTAATTTTCATTACGGTTTGAATATTATTTTCTTCAAAGTTTAAACAGATAAAGAGGCACAAATGATACATTTCATACATGGTATCATATAAATAATTTCTATTAAATAACCATCTGCCAAAATACTGTCAACATTAATCTGGAAGGTGAAAGAGGAGAGTGAAAAGGCTGGTTTAAAATTCAACATTCAAAAAACTAAGATCATGGAATGTGGTCCCATCACTTCATGGCAAATAGATGAGAAAAAAGTGGAAAGAGTGGCAAATTTTACTTTCTTGGGCTTCACAATCACTGTGGATGGTGACTGCAGCCATGAAATTCAGACACTTGCTCCTTAGAAGAAAAGCTATGATAAACCTAGACAGCATATTCAAAAGCAAAGACATCACTTTGCTGACAAAAGTCCGTCTAGTCAAAGCTATGGTTTTTCCAGTAGTCATGTACAGGTGTGAGAGTTGGACCATAAAGAAGGCTGAGCACTAAAGCCTTGAAGCTTTCAAATTGTGGTGCTGGAGAAGACTCTTGAAAGTCCCCTGAACAGCAAGGAGATCAAAGCAGTCAATCCTAAAGGAAAATAAACCTGAATATTCATTGGAAAGACTGATGCTGAAGATGAAGCTCTAATACTTTGGCCACCTGGTGTGAAGAGTCAACTCACTGGAAAAGACCCTGATGCTGGGAAAGATTGAGGGCAGGAGGAGAAGGGGATGACAGAGGATGAGATGGTTGGATGGAATCACTGACTCAGTGGACGTGGGTTTGAGCAGACTCTGGGAGATGGTGAAGGACAGGGAAGCCTGCTGTGCTGCAGTTGGGTCGCAAAGAGTCGGACCCGACTTAGTGACTGAAGAACAACAAATTTCCCAAAGACATTTCTTAAGATGCTTGTAATCACAAATCATCCCTTTACCATTTCTGTTCAAGCTCCAGCCTTATAAGCCTCTTTCCTGTTCCTGGAGTGCCTGAGTTCCTCCTTGGTAGGCCCCTTTCCACCAAGCTCATTCTGTCCCAAGGGCTTATATATTTGTTAATCTCTCTACCTGGTTTCACTGCTTCAGTCTTCGTGCCATCCTCAATGAAACCCTGGGCTATTTTTGTTTGGAGAATTATCACTGCCTAAATTCATCTTGTTCATTTATTGTCATGGTAATGGGTTCACCTGATGAGCTAAACTTAGTGGAGTATAATCGGAAAACAGTTTCTCTCTCCCATTACTGCTCTCCAAACCAGGCGGGAGTTCCCTTTCCCGATCCTTGATGTTATCTTAGGATGGTCCCCAATGCTGGAGAGTTTCATTGTTAGATATGTAAAGAAGTACAAAATCAATCAACACTCACATCCCATATCCAATGAATATTTTTCTTGACTTCTCTACCTGGCACCTCGTCCCTACTCCTGGGGCTTTCTGGTGATTTTTCAGACTGCTTGTGAAGAAAAAGATACACATGATGTGTTTTTTTCAATTGCTTGCTCTGACTTCCTCTCCTCCTGTAATCACTGCGCTAATATGACTCCATCAGGTCACAGCATATAGATGGGATGAGAGGTAAAAGAACAAATTAACTGATGCTGGTTGCACTTCTCCAGTTGACTTTCTAGGTCCCTTTCTTTCACTCTTTCTAACATTACCGCCATGTAGGCTCTTCTGGGTTCTTCTCACTCTAGCAGAAAATACCTTGAATCTTTTAAAACAGCCTAAGCCCAATCTCCTTCCACAGAGGAAAATCCATTTAGACCCATAAGGTCTTACCACGTATCCATGGAAATGTAGCTGCTTTCATTCTAGCCATTTTCCCTTTATATATGGTCCAATCTGTGGACAGGAACTCACCAAAATCCAAGGGCCATTAAACTGTCAGTTTCCACTCCTTAAAGAAAACACTCCCACTCCCTTTGTGTTCTGGCCATGGATACAAGGTCTAGAATGTGGGCTATAGGCTAAATATTTCTCATCTACTCAGACAAGGCAGAAATATAATTTCTCCAGCAAAATTCTGTGCTGGAGAGTATAAAGTGTAAAGTATAAAGTGCTGTGCTTCATAGTATAAAGATATCACTGGGAGTGGCTGTCCAACCAGAGGTTGCATTTCCTAGATCCTCTTGTACCCAGGCATAGCTGTATGGCTAGTTCACTCCAATGGTATGTGAGTGAAAGTGATGCATGTGACTTCAATGTCACTAGTGGAAATTCTCTCCTCTCTTTTCTCTTTCTCCACCTATATACAGAAATCTTTGAGTCTCTAAAGGATGATCGACTTGCCATATGGGGGGAACCTGACTCTGACTCTTGGGCTCTCAACTTGGAGGATGCTAGACACTGACCAGGAGCAAAGGCACCAGACTGTTAAAATTATTAAAAACTTTGATCGTGTTAAACCACTGAAATTATGGAATTTGAGTAGAGATGCCCTCATATACATACATTTAGTGAGTCTTTAATAAATGGCATAGCAAAATCTTTTACAGCATGGAAAAGTATCTATAGTTTTCAGGTTTGTATTTCACTTGAAAATCTAAGACAACAGAAAAATTCACATAGAATATCCCATTTCAATTCTATTTTGTTTCCTATCTAACTCCACTAAAATGTTAGTGCCATGTAAACAGGGACTTTGTTTGTATTGTTCATTACTTTTCCTAGGATCATAGAAAAAGAGATCAGATTTATGTTTACCAGAGTCAGAAAGTAGTGGGAAGGGAAACTGGATGGAGGTGGTCAAAAGGTTCAAACTTCCAGTTATAAGACAAATTAGCATTAGGGTTGTAATGTACTATCTGACAAAGATAATTAACACTACTGTATGTTGTATATAAAAACCATTAAAGAGAGTACATCCTAAGAGTTCTCAGCACAAGGGAAAAAAAGCTTTCTTACTTTTTGATAGCTATATAAGATGATGGATGTTCACTAAATTTTCATGATGCATGTAAGTCAAACCAATATGTATTAATACTACACCTTAAATGTATCAGTGCTGTGTGTCAATTATATCTCAGTAAAACTGGAAGAAAAAAAATTCAGAGAAAGAAATCCTATTTATTTACTTTATACAAAAGAGAATGGACTACTAACAACCAATTTTTGTTTACTGAAAATATAACCTGATTTTTGGAACTTGCTGTAAGAAGTAACCAAACTTATGCGCCTTAAGGCTATAAATATTTCTTACAAAAACCCTGCTTAAAGAAATTCTAACCATTCACTCATCTCCAGAGAAGGCATTACAGAGAAGGAAATGGCAACCCACTCCAGTGTTCTTGCCTGGAGAATCCCAGGGATGGTGGAGCCTGGTGGGCTGCCGTCTATGGGGTCGCACAGAGTTGGACATGACTGAAGTGACTTAGCAGCAGCAGCAGCAGCAGGGAAGGTGTTAAGAAAAGATTGGGTTGACTGTAACAAAAAGATGAAATGCAGATGGAAAATCAGAGGCAGCTGAGTGTCTTGAGAGCTTCATGGCCACAACTGATGAGCTACTTTTCCATGCTGTAAGAAAGTCTTTTTTTGTAAGATATGTGAATGAAGTGTTGGTGTCTTCACCAAGAGGTGGCACCTTAAGGGTTCTGAGGAAATAAATGTATAGACCCTTATGTACAGACCTGTGTATAAACAACTTTTGTACATACATATAGGGATAGCTTTTTTGAAATTATACGGCTGTGCATAAAAGTAGCTGGTATTAGTTAAGCCTGTGTCAACATTTTGGATTTTTTTTTTCACTTGTACAGTTGGGGCTTTTTCTTTTGGTTGATTAAAGTTGCATATGCTAAGTGTGAAAAAAAATATTTTGCTATGCCATTTATTAAAGACTCACTAAATGTATGTATATGAGGGCATTTCTAGCTGATCTAAGTAAAGTATTTCTCTAAAGTTTAGCAAATGCAGTAAAAAAGGTTAGGAAACTCTATAGGCATGGACAGTCATTTTAGTATACTTTGAAAGTATTCAGCAAGCATGTTCTTCAAGAAGTTCACAAAGGTTTGTTTGATGGGATTATTTAAAAGAACTCATATGGTCTCTGCTGACTAAATCCTCATGTTCAAAAGTTATATAGCTAGCAAGTTTTTACCTTAGGGGCTTTCTTGGTGGCTCAGAGGTAAAGAATGTGCCTGTAAGTGCAGGAGATGCGGGTTCAATCCCTGGGTAGGAAAGACCCCCTGGTGAAGGAAATGGCAACCCACGGCAGTATTCTTGCCTGGTAAATCCCATGGACAGAGGAGCCTGGCAGGCTACAGTCCATGGGGTCACAATAGAGTCGGACACAATAGAGTCGGACACAAAGTTGTATAAAAAGCTATATACTTTTATATAGCTATCAAAAAGTAAGAAAGCTTTTTTTCCCTTGTGCTGAGAACTCTTAGGATGTACTCTCTTTAATGGTTTTTATATACAACATACAGTAGTGTTAATTATCTTTGTCAGATAGTACATTACAACCCTAATGCTAATTTGTCTTATAACTGGAAGTTTGAACCTTTTGACCACCTCCATCCAGTTTCCCTTCCCACTACTTTCTATTACTACTTTCTGACTTTATTACTATTATTATTATAGTAATAATAAATTACTATTATTAGAAAGGAAAGAAAACTTAGTAACTTGGCCACATCACTGTCATTGATAGCCTATTTGGGTAGAGTTACTTGAAAATGACCCCCTCCTTCACCAACTTCAGCTGAAATTGAACATTTAATTAGGACAGCACATCTACCTATAGGGGCAAAGAGAACACTCTAGCACATCAAATACTTTTCCCCAAAGCTTTTGCAAGTGATACTTGAGTGTGTTTCAGTAGTCTAATCATCTGTTTCTATGCCTCTGTGGAGATTCTCCCAGAGATCAGGTGAACAAATAAGTGATTTATAGACCAAGTAGTTTAGGTATTTTCTTATTTTCTATGTTGGAGCAAAAGTTGAAGATCTTAAATAATCATTTTATAAAGAAATTCATCTGCATATTTCAAATAACCATTATTTATCAAAAGCTTAAATACTTGATTTAAAGAAATCTTTTCTATAAGCATGTAAGTTGCATCTTAATGGATTGAAAATAAATTGATGCTATTTGAATAATTTATCCCAATATGCTCACTTAATATGACTTTTTTTTAGGAATAGCAATTTAGGTGTACAACAAAAGCTCCAACTGTTTACCAAAAGGAAGACTCTATGAGCAGTTAAAGGGCTCTTACCATAGCAACACATTTCATGTCAATAATCTTGAAGGGTGGCCCAGGAGCACTATGGATCTCAAGCTGATACCAGATTAGCAAATTGTTAATAGCATTATCTGAAAAAAAGAAAAAAACATGGCACATGTTAATATGTGCATTTTAGAACACCGTATTTTACATATTTTTTGAGAAACATAAATAGATACCATTTTCAAATTCTTTCTGATGGACTCAGTTGTCAAGAGCTGAGGGGAAGGTGAAAAGTCGATTTCAACACAGTTTGTGAGCAGTAAGAGAAGCCCCAGGCTGCATGGCCATGAGAATGGGCCATGAAAGCTTCCTGCCTCATGTGTGCTCCCGTAAACTCACTGAGCTCTTCACAAAAATAAGAATGTTTTACTTTTAAGGATTAATATTCCAAAAGAAATAACTAACCCTTTGCCCCCTAATTCCCAAAGCATTCACATAATATACAGACATATCTAAATATGGTATTATAATAGACAAAGGTACATTTCTAGTACCATAAAAATCCAGCCTAAGGGGAAAAAATAAGGAAGATTTCATGAAACGTCTGGTTTCTTGGGAGTGTTAAACAGGATCCTAGCAATTTAGCTCAAAGAAAGCTGAAATGGGGTATGGATGGTTTAAAAAAAAAAATAACAAAAGAGAGGAGGAGGAAGAGAAGGGGGAAACGAAAGGGGAGGGAAAGAGGAGGGGGGAGGGGAAAAGGAAAAAGAAGAACTAGAAGAAAGAAATAACAGGCCCAAGGTGGAGCCACTTGCCTCCGGGAGAGTAAACTAAGATTTAATTGCAGTTTCAACCTCTCCCAGGAACGGACTTTTCACAATTTTCTGGTCAGTGCTAGTGAGCTAGCCAGGCTCCTCTGTCCATGGATTTCTCCAGACAAGAATACTGGAGTGGGTTGCCATGGCCTCCTCCAGGGGATCTTCCCTGCCCAGGGATCAAACCCAGGTCTCCCGCACTGCAGGTGGATTCTTAACCATCTGAGCCACCACGGAAGCCCACTAGCAAGGCAATCTCGCCTGAAACAATCCTTTCTTGTCTTCTGCTAATTCACTCCCCTGTCCATCCCCTCCCCCTCCACATTTCTATAAAACTTGAGAGCAGCTTTCTATTTGCTACATGGGATGCGGCTGATTAATTAACAAATGAATAAAATCAATCATATCCTCAAATTTACTCAGCTGAGTTTTGTTTTTTTAACAGGACTAACTGATGAGAGAGTAATGGTTACATCTGGGTTCCCTATATATATTAATACAGGTCTTTCTGCTGCCAGTGATGTCCAAAGTCACACCTCCAAATCCTGCCACAAGAGCCCTGTGTAGCAGGGTTTGTACTGGCATCAAACCCAGGCTCTTTTTATTAGTTCTCAACTGTTCAGCTTCTCACTTTGATATTCTTTATGCTTCAATGCTGAGCTAGATTACAGTTTAAGAGAAACTCCAGTTTCAGTTAACTGTTTGCATATCATATCTGTATTGTCAAGTTGTAAATATTCCAAGAACTGCAATGTTTGATTAACTTAGGTAAATCACTAAGTCTCCTTGGGTCTCAATTTCCTCATCTATGAAATAAGGGGCCAAGATTTGTGCAGTTCTCAGTCTCTTTCTTCTGAAAAACTGTTTCATTTTGTATTGCATTGCAATGCATTGCACTGTATTATATTGAATGTATTGAACTGTATTGCATGGCTCAAATAATTGGCTCAGTAAATCCAAAATCTGCAGGTTAGGCCAGCAGACTGTTGACCCAGGGAAGAGTTGGAGTTCAAGTCCAAAGGGTAGAATTCCTTTTTTACTCTGCGGAAGTCAGTCTTTGTGCTATGAAGACCTTCAACTGGTTAGGTAAGCCCAACCCACATTGTGGAGGGAAATCTTTTTTGAAAGTATAAAGATGTAAATACAATTCTCATCCAAAATCACCTTTATAGAAACATCCAGAACACCGTTTAACCTAATATCTAGGCACCATGACCCAGCCAAGTTGACATATAAAATTAACTATGATGGGGATGAGAACACCTACTATTTGTGATTACTTTGACTATCATATAAGATAGTATTGTGATGAAGCTAATTTAACTTCTACAGAGCTAAAAACATACAATGAATATGAATTTGTTAGTGACAGTGAGATTAGGAATAATTTATTAATGAACTGAACAACAAAAATAGTAATTATTAAACACTGTTTACAGGCTTTAAACATATTAAAATTTTTCTAATTATAAAATTAACAACATTCACTATAGCAATTTAAGAAATTACTGAAACACTTTAGAAAATAAAAATTATTTATAATCCCATGACCAAGAGTATTTATTTTTGTATAAAATTTCAAGTTTAATATATCAATAAAGACATATATAGGCATATATATATATACATTGTATATAACTGATAAATCCATACATATGTGTGCCTTTGTATATACACACTTGATAGCATTCAGAGAATACTCACTATTAAATTTAAGTTTAATACTAGTCATTAGGGAAATGCAAATTAAAACCACAATGAGATATCACACCTGTTAGAATGACCATAATCAAAGAGACAAGAGATAACAAACGCTTTTGTGGATGTGGAGAAAAGGGAACACTTCTGCACTGCTGGTGGGATTGTAAATTGGTATAGCCACTAGGCAAAATAGTACAGAGGATCCTTATAAGATTAAAAACAGAATTGCCATATGATCCAGCAATTTCACTTCTGGGAATATATCCAAAGTAAATGAAAATATGAACTCAAAAAGATATCTGTACCTTCATGTTCATAGCAATATTATTTATAATAGCCAACACAGGGAAACAACCTAAGTATCACTGATGAATGAATGGATAAAGAAGTTGTAATATAGATGTTCAGTGGAATCTTACTCAGCCATAAAGAACACAGAAACCCTACCATTTGTGACAAGGACAGACTATGAAGGCATTAGGATAAGTGAAATAAGTCAGGTAAAGAAGAAAAAATACTCATCATTTCAGTTATATGTGTAGTCTAAAATAACCAAAACAATAACAAAAACCCCAAACTCATAGAAAAAGAAATCAGACTTGTGGTTACCAGAGGCAGAAGATGGGAGTAGAGAGAAAAGAAGGATGGTGGTCAAAAGACATAAACTTGCAGTTATAAAATAATTAAGTACTAGGGAGGTCATGTACAGCATGATGACTACAATTAACACTGCTGTATGATATACAGAAAAGCTAAGAGAGTAAATTCTAAGAGTTTTCTTCAAAAGGAGAAAATTGTTTTTCCTTTTATCTTTTTTTCTTTTTATTGTATCTATATGAGAATATGGATGTTAGCTGAACATACTGTGGTAATCATTTCACAAGACGTGTAAATCAAACCATCAAGCTGTATGGCCTTAAACTTATACAGTGATGTATGACAATTATTTTTCAACAAAAATGGGAAAAAATTATATGCAGATGATATCTATTCAAAAATACTTTAAATCAAATTAAAAATTAAGTTTTAATTATTTAACATAATAAATCATATGGGAAACATTCTTATATTAAAATATCTGTGCATATCATTGATTATTTTATTTTAAAAATCTAAGCTGTCTGATGACAGGTTGCAAAATAGATTAAGAACCAGGAAAAATATATGTACAGTTATCCCCAATTCTTCAGACAGGCCTTTCCATATTCCTACTCAAACAGAATTAACCTTTCCATCCCCTGTAATAACTATGGTCTTTTTCTTACTGATTGCTCAGCAGTACATTTCTTTTCAATTAGAGAAGCTTCAGTTATGCAAAATGAGTAAGTTCTGGAGATATAATGTACAACAAGGTAATTATAGTTAACAGGGTAGAGTGTATACTCTAAATTTGCTAGAAGGTAGATCTTTGTGTGTGTGTGTGTGTGTGTGTGTGTGTGTGTGTACAGGCTTGTTAATTGTGACACATGTACTATTTTGGTGGGGTATGTTAATGATGGGGGAGACAATCCATGTGTGAGGGCAGGATGTCTATGGGAAAACTCTGAATCTTCCTCTCAGTTTTGCTGTGAACCTACAATTTATCTAAATATTAGATATTTCTAAAATATGCCACTCAGATTTGATAGGTTATTATACTGAATATAGATCACTTTAAATTGTATGCACATTTTGACAGTATTCAGTTAGAAGGTAGACTGTGTCTTTACCTTCTTCTGCAAAAAAGTGGTAACTATGTTTTTCCCTGGTGGCTCAGACGGTAAAGCGTCTGCCTACAATGCGGGAGACCCGGGATGGGAAGATCTCCTGGAGAAGGAAATGGCAACCCACTCCAGTATTCGTACCTGGAAAATCCCATGGATGGAGGAGCCTGGTAGGCTACAGTCCATGGGGTTGCAAAGAGTCGGACACGACTGAGCGACTTCACTTCACTTCACTTCATGTGAGATGATAAATATGTTAATTAGGATGATTCTGGTGAATATTTCACAATGTATATGTATATCAAATCTATTTGTCCACTTTAAATATGTACAATTTTTAATAGCCAGCTATACTCCAGTAAAGCTGGGACAAAGAAGAAATGAAAACAATTAGATAATAATTTTTTAGGCTTCCAAATAGGGAAATAGGAAAAATAATGGTAACATCCAGTTTTAACGAGGGTCAGGTTGAAAGAGACAATCTTATACATTATAATGGAAATTTGAATTGATAAAAATTGGAAGAGTGCTTTAACATGTTTAAAATGTTTAAGAATTGTTTTTCCTTTTGATCCAATGATTTCATTTTAAGATATTTTTTGAAATAAAATAATTGATGATATGCACAAATACTTTAATATAAGAATGTTTCTTATATAATTTGTTGAATAATTGAAACTTAATTTAAAAAATTTTAAATAGCCCACAGTCACAAGTAAATGTAATTTCCTAACATGACTCCCCCAGGATCCCCCACAATAGACTTTGATAAACACTCCCCCTTGGGCATCCCTTAGATAGGACCTCCAAGATACAAGACAGCCTTGTTATATTTTGGAATCAATTCTCACTTCCTATCTGCTCTCTTCTTGCCTGGAGAATTCCTTGGACAGAGAAGCCTGGTGTGCTATAGACCATGGGATCACAAAGAGTCAGACACAACTGAGTGATTAACACTATCTACTCTCTCAAGAGAAGCATCTAATGCTAGTTTCTGAAATGTTTTCCATCTTTAGGGGTATTTCTCTATCCCCATCACCACCCTAAAAAACACTGTTCTCTTCACTTCAAACCCAGTTAACTGTTGCAGTGGCCTAGCTCTTCTCTTTCTAAACTGTTTTGAATAAATGCTTGGATATCCCTTTTAATCCATGTATTCTGTGATGGTTAATTTTATATATCAACTGGTATGGACTATGGTGTCCAGTTTTTTGATTACACACCAGTCTAAATGTTGGTAGGAAGATACATGAACACTTTAATCAGTAGACTTCGAGTAAAGCAGAATACTGTGCTTATGTGAATGTGCCAACTCCAATCAGTTGGAGGCCGTAAGAGCAAAGACTGAAGTGACCTGAAAGAGAAGCAATTCTTAGCTAAGCCTGAAACATGGAAACCCTCTCAGAGCTTGTAGCCTGCCTGGTCTTTCCTGAGTAATTTGTGGACTCAAGACTGCAACAGCAACTTTTACTAATTTTCCACCCTGCTTCCCTGGTGGCTCAGTGGTAAAGAATCCGCTTACAATGTAGGAGATGTAAGAGACATGGGTTCAATCCCTGGGTCGGGAAGATCCCCTGGAGGAGGGCATGGCCACCCATTCCAGTATTTTTGCCAGGAAAATCCCATGGACAGAGGAGCCTGGCGGGCTACAGTCCATGGGGTCACAAAGAGTCAGACATAATTGAAGCAACTTAGCACGCAAGGATGTGCTTGCCCTATAGATTTTGGACTTGCCAGTCTCCTTAAGTTATGTTAGCCAATTCCTTAAAATGTCTCTCTCTATAAAGATATAGATTATTATATATTTAACTATACTATATTGGATTGCATGTTGTATTATATTATATTATATTATATTATATTATATTATATTATATTAGTGTCTCCTTCTTTGAAGAATCCTGATTAAACACAAACTCATTTAATAAAGATTTCTATTTTGGTATGCCTCTGGTAGAACTTTGCCCTTGTTGACCCACTTTTCTCTATTTCCCTCTTCCGTCCCTGCTACTCACCCATAAGAGAACTCATTCACCCAGTCTCTCAGAAACCTGCCCTGTCTATTCTAACTCTTCATAAACCCATTTTCCTTCGAATTTCTACTGAAAAGATATGATGTTTAACAACATTCAAAGGAAGCTTTATAACATGGGAAGGGGAAACAATAGCATTCACTTTCTTTTGCATATGAGGAAGACTGCTATCATTTCCTATATTTAAAAAAGGAATACATTACATTGTTAAAATAATATATTCATTAACATTTTATCAGAATTTGACTGAAATTTTGTGTTCAGTAACAGAAATATGTGTAAAGTTCTTCACTTATGAAAGAGTAGGCAGCCTTCAACCTGAAGTATTATAATCTACTCATTTTAATGGTAGTACAAATCCAGAAATTAACAACATGTTGTTAATCCTGAAATAATACAATCCTTACAGATATATGAAATACACATTTGTATTGTATTTTGAGTGTAAAGTAGCTACTGACTTATAAATGGATGATGATCATGAAACTTTCCATAATAATAAATTTACCTGGTTTTTCCTCATCAAACTTGTCAGATAGTTCTGATAATGATTCCTTATAGAAGGGTATTTGATCTCTATCTTGATCTTCATCTGAGTCATCCTGAGAATCACCATCATGCTTGCTTTTAACAGAAAATGTAATTGTACCTACAACACATAGATGCAAGATGTCAGATTAACGAGGGTTTAGTTTTCAAAACTAACAATTAGACAGAACTTAATAGAAAGTTCAAGGAAATATTTTAAATATCCATTAAAATGGTAATTTTAAACAGCTTTCTCATAGTAATTAAGGAAATGTAGTAAATAATAGAACTGCATCAGCCTTCAGAAAACATATTGGTCTTGAGTGAGTGTTCTTACATATTTTCTAAAGTCATTTGTAACACTCATTTATTACCTCATTAAAATGTTTATTTTGCTTAATACAATATCCTAAGCATGAACTTTCCTTTAAGCATTTCATATGCAAAGTACTAAATTTCGTTCAAAAAACATAGTGTCAAAAATTCACACTCTTTACCTGAAAATTTTCTTATAATAAAATTGACTTATAAAAGACTGGTATTAACTTTTATTTATGTATTTTTTTCATTTATTTTTAATAGTTGGAGGCTAATTACTTTACAATATTGTAGTGGGTTTTGTCATACATTGACATAAATCAGCCATGGATTTACATGTATTCCCCATCCTGATCCCCCCTCCCACCTCCCTCTCTACCTGATCCCTCTGGGTCTTCCCAGTGCACCAGGCCTGAGCACTTGTCTCATGCATCCAACCTGGGCTAGTGATCTGTTTCACCATAGATAATATACATGTTTTGATGCTGTTCTCTCGAAACATCCCACCCTCACCTTCTCCCACAGAGTCCAAAAGTCTGTTCTGTACATCTGTGTCTCTTTTTCTGTTTTGCATATAGGGTTATCATTACCATCTTTCTAAATTCCATATATATGTGTTAGTATGCTGTAATGGTCTTTATCTTTCTGGCTTACTTCACTCTGTATAATGGGCTCCAGTTTCATCCATCTCATTAGAACTGATTCAAATGAATTCTTTTTAATGGCTGAGTAATATTCCATGGTGTATATGTACCACAGCTTCCTTATCCATTTGTGTGCTGATGGGCATCTAGGTTGCTTCCATGTCCTGGCTATTATAAACAGTGCTGCAATGAACATTAGGGTGCACGTGTCTTTTTCAGATCTGGTTTCCTTGGTGTGTATGCCCAGAAGTGGGATTGCTGGGTCATATGGCAGTTCTATTTCCAGTTTTTTAAGAAATCTCCACACTGTTCTCTATAGCAGCTGTACTAGTTTGCATTCCCACCAACAGTGTAAGAGGGTTCCCTTTTCTCCACACCCATAAATCGCAGCAGGATCCTCTATGACCCACCTCCCAGAATATTGGAAATAAAAGCAAAAATAAACAAATGGGACCTAATGAAACTTAAAAGCTTTTGCACAACAAAGGAAACTATAAGCAAGGTGAAAAGACAGCCCTCAGATTGGGAGAAAATAATAGCAAACGAAGCAACAGACAAAGGATTAATCTCAAAAATATACAAGCAACTACTGCAGCTCAACTCCAGAAAAATAAATGACCCAATCAAAAAATGGGCCAAAGAACTAAACAGACATTTCTCCAAAGAAGACATACAGATGGCTAACAAACACATGAAAAGATGCTCAACATCACTCATTATCAGAGAAATGCAAATCAAAACCACAATGAGGTACCATTACACACCAGTCAGGATGGCTGCTATCCCAAAGTCTACAAGCAATAAATGCTGGAGAGGGTGTGGAGAAAAGGGAACCCTCTTACAAAGCTGTCGGTGGGAATGCAAACTAGTACAGCTGCTATGGAGAACAGTGTGGAGATTTCTTAAAAAACTGGAAATAGAACTGCCATATGACCCAGCAATCCCACTGGGATTAATCTGGTATTAACTTTTAAACTGAAGCTAATATATAAGGAAATAATTCAGAAATTGACCCTGATACCTTAACACCAGCTTGCTATATTCATATTTTTTTATTCATCTTTAGAGGATGATTCAAATATTCTTTTTCCTTCAATTTCCCACACTTCCATCTCCCTCCTCATTCCTTGCTGATCATCTCATTTCTATTTCACTAAGAAAATGCACACTTTCTGGAAAGAATTCCTTCACAATCCCACCCCCACACTGACAAACCCTTCCACAATGGTGACCTTATCCTCTGGCTTTCCTCTAGTAAGAATGACTGATACATTCCTATCTGGACAGCTCCTGGCTATGTGTACTAGATTCCATCTACTCTGGTCTACCCCAGGATCTGGCTGCTCTAATTATCCCTACTCTCATCTACACCTTCAATTCTCCCTCTTTGAAACATTCTGTAATAACATCCAATTTCCAAAAAGCCTTCTCTCCATCTAGTGCATGTGTGTGTGTAAATGTATGCACTTTTTAATATTTATTTTCATATACACTCCCTGGAGAAGGAAATGGCAACCCACTCCAGTATTCTTGTCTGGAGAGTCCCATGGACAGAGAAGACTGGCGGGCTACAGTCCATGGGGTCTCAAAGAGTTGGACAGGACTGAAGTGACTTAGCACACATGCATGTGTACATACACACACATACATACGTACAAGCTCTAATATCATGTTAGGCTCAGCACTAGAATGTGGATGAAATGCACTATATAAATCACAAAAATGATTCAAGGCATAAAATAAATACATTTTTTAGGAAAAAATCAAAGCAATGTCTTGGCAGTGCTCTAAGCAAGTTTAGTAAGTTTCTTCTTTCAAATTGGCAAAGAATAAAATATTGTCATGGTACTTAAACCTTTGGAAAGAATTAAAGATAAAGCAAATAGGAGATAAAGCTATAGTTTAATATTTAAAGCTAAAATAACATGTATCAAAATTATAGACAATCCATAGGAATAAAGACTCAAAAATTGTATGTCCCCCATAACAAGTCCAATAATTAAAAATAAAAAATGCTTTACTCTTTCAGATTGATAATTTTTAAAACCTTTGATAATATCAATTATTGATAAGTATTCAGTAACAACCCCTGTCTCAGATACTATTGGTAAGAGTAAAAATTGGTACTACATATTTTGGAGGGTAATTTTGCAACATTCACCAAATTGTTGTACATTCCCTTTGATATGTAAGTTTAGTTTTTATCCTCTAAATAGCTTATATCTTAAATATTATCCCCATCGGAAAACTGGCAGAGTTATTTACAAAGATGCTATTGCAATACTATCTGTAATTACAAAAAATGAGGAACTCAATTTCCATCTATGCATGACTAGTTACATGAATTAAGATAAACATTTATTTGGATTATTGTTCATCTAATCAAAAGAAAAAAATCTATCAAATCTGAATTGAAAACACATCCATGATACTCTGAGTGAAAGCAGCCATTTACAGAGCTTTATGTCTCATATGATCTGCTATGTGTGGTGGGTCTGTATGCGTGTATTTGTGTTTAAAAGATACACAAGGATATGAATTGGTATTTGAACAGATATTTATTTTCTTACAGTTCTGGAGGCTACATGTTTGAAATCCAGGTACCGGCAGGGTTGGTTCCTTCTGGAGATTCTGAGGAGGATCTGTTCCATGCCCCCCTCCTAGTTTCTGCTGTTTACCAGCAATTCTTGGCATTCCTTGGTTTGTAGATGCATCATTCCAGTCTGCCTTCACCTTTGCATGGTGTTCTCTCCTGTACCTACTTGTGTCTACTTTCCTCTTCTTATAAGGACAGCAGTCATATTGGGTCAGGACTCACCCGAACTCAGCATGACTTCATTTTAATTTGATTATATCTTCAAAGACCCTATTCTAAATAGGATCACTTTAACAGGTATCTGTGGTTAAAATGCTAGGTCCTTGAGCAAGTAGTTCTGAGAGTAAAGACAGAGCATAGTATGGGGACATACCTCTGAATATGGACAAGCATGTCTCCTTGTAGGAATGTTCCCAGATCCTGGCTAAGAGTAGCTGGACCTGAGTCACAGGGTCATTTGAGGATGTTCAGGTAACCAAAGTTGGAGGGCCTGCCACAGGGGCACAGGCAGGTATGTCTCCCAGATGGTCCCCAGGTAGGTAGCTGCTGCTAAGTCGCGTCAGTCGTGTCCGACTGTGCGACCCCATAGACGGCAGCCCACCAGGCTTCGCTGTCCCTGGGATTCTCCAGGCAAGAACACTGGAGTGGGCTGCCATTTCCTTCTCCAATGCATGAAGGGGAAAAGTGAAAGTGAAGTCGCTCAGTCGTGTCTGACTCTTCACGATCCCATGGACCGCAGCCTACCAGGCTCCTCCGTCCATGGGATTTTCCAGGCAAGAGGACTGGAGTGGGGTGCCATTGCCTTCTCCAGAAGTGGCGGCTAAGAGGGACTGAAGCTGTGTCACGGACCACTGCAGGGTCCACACATGGGACTGAATTCTGTGGATCCGTTATACAGGGCAGGGGCAGGTATGACTCCTGCTAAATTCCTTGCCAGATAGTGCTAATGGCAGGACCAAAGTCAAATGGGACTGTAACAATCCACAGGGGTGTTTTCTGGTCTGTAGCCAGGATCACAGGTGGCAAGACTGTCATCTGAGCATAAGCTTGCCTTTTCAAAATGGTCCTCCTTGGTTTTGGACTCCACCAGGGTTTCGTGGTCTCCTACCTGGAGACACAATGGCACTTTTGTCCTTGGAAGGCTTTCAAACGATTGTGCTGAAGAGGGATACAATTGGTGGATCTTCTACTCTGCCATCTTGCTGATATGACTCCTATCTTATTACTTTCAATTCCCTTGTTTTGAAATTTCACAAAGGCATGTAAGTTACAGGTTAAACTTCATGTCCTATTATAAACATGGCTTTCTTATTTTACATAGGAGCTTGGTATACGCTCACAAACAGATTGTGGAAAGACAGGGTATATAGTAGAAAGAACATCAGGCTTTTTATAGAATATGGATTCAAACTCTTTACTCTACTACTGCAAATTTAGCCCTGAACATGTCACTTACCTCATCTGTAAAATGGTGCTAGTTGTTTTGGGAATTAAATGACTACATAGTTTATGCTTATGTAGGACTTACTATATGCCAGGCACTGTTCTAGGGATTTACAAAAG